TTTAGTTTATGTTCTCCCCTCCCCTCACACCAGGTCCGAACCTTCATCATCTCCCACCGTCGCACATACTGTGGCTGTGCCTGTGAATGTGGCTGTGTTTCTTCTTGGTCCCTACTGCATATTTTAGTTTATGTTCTCCCCTCCCCTCACACCAGGTCCGAACCTTCATCATCTCCCACCGTCGCACATACTGTGGCTGTGCCTGTGAATGTGGCTGTGTTTCTTCTTGGTCCCTACTGCATATTTTAGTTTATGTTCTCCCCTCCCCTCACACCAGGTCCGAACCTTCATCATCTCCCACCGTCGCACATACTGTGGCTGTGCCTGTGAATGTGGCTGTGTTTCTTCTTGGTCCCTACTGCATATTTTAGTTTATGTTCTCCCCTCCCCTCACACCAGGTCCGAACCTTCATCATCTCCCACCGTCGCACATACTCAAGAAGCGTCGATCGAAGTAGCACCTGTAACATCTAACATAGGAGCAAGTGTAGCATCAAATGTAGCGCCAACTGTGGGGTCAACTTTACCACCAGCTGTAGCATCATCTGTAGCAGGAACTAGACGCCTCTCACTCTCTTCCTCCCCCGCGCCCTCCGCAGCCTCTTCCACTGTGCGTAGATCGCTAGACCTGAGTGGCATGAGCCTCAACCCCCACGCAGCCGAGTTCGTTCCGGTCTTTGGCCCTCCTTCCCACGCCAGCAATCTCGCCACTGCGCCACAATTAGATTCAGCGGCAGCAGCAGGAGGAGGTGGAGGAGGAGGAGGACGAGCAGGGGGGCCAACGGGTGGTGTAGCCGGGTCTGGTGCAGCAGCAGCAGCAGGATATGCTTCCTCCCTGCAGGGCAATGCAGCAGGGTATGCTTCCTCGCTGCAAGCGGGGTATGGAACGGGCAGCGGTTTAGCTGGGTATAACGGCGCAGCAGCAGCAGCTGAGGCGTTTGGGGAGTGCGAGGAGGAGTTGAGCCGGTCGCAGTCGCACAACAGCAACGCGTCTGACGATGAATACCGCCGCTTCTGGCGGGATCGGCTCCCTGACGAGCTTCTAAGTTTCGATGAGTCGCCGAAAGGGAGAGGCGGTGGGCGGGATGGGAGGGGCGGGGGAGACGGGAGGGATGGGATGGATGGGTTTTTGCAGAGAGGGATGGGAATGGAGATGGATGTTGGTGGGGGTGGGGGGGGTGATGGTGGTGGATGGTGGTGGAAACAGCCTGCATCGCCATGCAGCCAGCATGCCTTCTCTCGATAGCAGTCACATGTCCAGTTCTGCTGCTGCTGGGGCTGCTGGTGGTGCTGGTGCTGGTGCTGGTGCTGCTCCCTCTGGCGGCCCAGACAGATTTGACAGGCAGGGTTATGGATACTCGTTCCGGCAGGGCGTAGGCCCTCCTGGTGCCCCTCCTGCAGCGCAGTCCATGGGGAATATCCTCGAGGAGGTCAAGTCAGATTCTGCTCTAGACCACCTTGCACCGCATCGCACCGCTCTCGGTCTCTCCGGACCTGGCCAGCACCACTCCATGCCGCATCGCTCGCCTGCTGGCCCCCTCATGGGCTCTCCAGCTCAGGGACCTTCCTACGAAGCTTCCTTTGATCCTTCCGCTTCCTATCACGCTCCCCCTCCCTCACACCTGCTCCCTCGAAACGCCCCCAGTCCTGCCTGGAGACCTGCCCCAGGCCCACCTGGGTTTTCACCTGGGCCCCCACCTGGCGGACCACCTGGCTCTGTTGCTCCTGTCCCTTCCAGCCCTGTAATCGGCCGTGGAGGAGTACCCCTTTCTCCAATGGGCACACCCAACCGATACCCCCCATACGGCGGGGTTAACCCTAACTCTAACCACATGAGTCCGCAGCAGAGTCCTGCCAGGGGCCCTCCTCCCTATGCCTCCCCCGGAGGCCCACTCTCTCGCTTTGGTGGTAACCCTGTAACATCAATGTCTTTGCCACCACCCGGCGCTGCCTCTCCCCCTCCCCCAATCCATCACCCCTACAACAGCCCTGCCAGGGGTTATCCCCCTCCCCCAAATGCTGACCCGAGGGCCATGCACCCTCCACCGTTTGAACTCCCTGGTCCCGCTGGGGGAGGGGACATGGGGGGGGGAATGGGGGGAGGGATGGGGGGAGGGATGGGGGGAGGCGGAGGAATGGGGGGACCAGGGGGAGGGGATGGCATGTGGGGGGGGAAAGGCGGGGGAGTGAGAGAGAGAGCAATGTCGATGCCGGTTGGGTGGGGGGGACCGGAGGAAGGGGTGGGCGGCGACGATCGGCACGATCCTGTGCGCATACTCGCTACAGAGTTCCCCATGTTCAGTATAAGCACCCTGGCTGAGATATTCTTCTCTAATGGCGCTGACCTCCCTCGGACCATGGAGATCCTCACCCAGCTGCAGGTGTGCTGTGCGGTTGGGATGGGTTTAACTTGGTTCATATGGTTTTTGTGTGGTTGGGGCGCATGCTGCTGCCGAGTGGTTGGGATGTGTGATGTTTCCTGACGTCCGTACCAAACATGCCTTCTCTCATCCTAAACTGCTGCAACCTCAACCCATTCGCTCTCCTTTGGCTTTTCATTTCTCTCCCCCTCGCAGCTTCAGGACAAGATGACTCTCCTATCGCCAACCCACTGCCGCCTCCCACCCCCCATCGCGCACCCCCCTTTCCTCAATTCCCTCAACTTCCCCTCACTCTCCCCTCTAGACCCCATCCCCGCCTCCTCCTCCCCAATGCTCCGCCCCCGCCCCTCCTCTCTATCTTCTGAGATTCACCCCATGCAAGGCTCTGTCCTGATTTTGCCCTATTCTTTTTCTCTCCCCCCCTCTCTCCCACCCTCCCTCTTTTCTCTCCCCCTCACAGCTTCAGGACGAGATGACTCTCCCCTCACCAACCCACCGCCGCCCCCCACCCCCAACCGCGCACCCCCCTTCCCTCGACTCCCTCGACTTCCCCTCACTCTCCCCTCTCGACCCCCTCCCCGCCTCCTCCTCCCCCATGCTCCGCCCCCGCCCCGCCTCTCAAGCCCCTGACATTCGCCCCATGCAAGGCCCTGTTCCGGATTTTGCTGGGGTGCTGCGAAAGCCTTTGCCCCCAGGAGCAGCGTCTCAGAACGCGTGGGGGGGTGGGCCGGCGGAGAGAATCGGGGGAGGGGAGGGGAGCATGGGTGGGGCAGGGCGGAGAGGGGGGGTCGGAGGAGGAGGTGGAGGGGGAGGGGGAGGGGGAGGGGGGTATGAGTTTGCAGGAAGAGGAGGGGCACAGCCATGGCTGGAGACTGGCAATGCGGTTGGTGAGTTGCGATTTGGTGCTCTCTTAGACGTGTGGCATGTTGTTGCGCGAAGACTTTTGAGTCGACTCAAAAGTCAACTTAGACGTGTGGCATGTTGTTGCGCGAAGTCTCATGTACGTGCCGTTCCCCCCCCCCCCCCCCCAATCCAAAGAACCTGGATGGACACATGACGGGGGGAGTTCCGGGAGGCACCATTGTGAGCATTCTCGCAAGCGTTACTCATTCCCACTTACCCTTTTCTCCCCATGCAGCGAACCTGTATGGAGACATGAGGGAGGAGGCGCGGGACCATGCAAGAATACGAAACGCGTGCTTCGAGCAGGTCAGTGCTTCTTCCTCCCTTTGATATATGCTATTTTCTATCAAGTACTGCACTTGTATGTTTCTCTGAATGGCATACTCACGTCTAATGTGTATAAGAGGAGGAGGGAACTAGGTCATAGAGTCCAGTCCTTACCAAATGCAGGTCATATCTCGTATGCAACAAGGCAACAGCCATTTCAGTTCGTATGAACTCTAGGAAGGCCCATCGAGTTTTGAGTCGACTCAAAAATCGAACAGCCATTTCAGTTCGTATGAACTCTAGGAAGGCCCATCGAGCCTTTCCTCCCTTTCCTGTTTCCTCCCTGCTGGCCACGAAAGTGTATTCGGCCGGCAACAAGGCAGCCGCAAACTCATTTCTTACCTGTTTCCCCCTTGCAGGCCATGCAAGGCAGGCAACTGAGCGCTCGCGGTCAGTGGCACAACGACAGGAGCTGAGCGTGGAAGGCCCCTTACCAGCTCCTATTGTCACTGTCTGTGTGCCCCCATGTGTGCCCCCATGTGTGCCTGCATGTGTGCCCGCATGTGTGCCCCCATGTGTGCCCCCATGTGTGCCCCCATGTGTGCCCCCGTGTGTGCCCCCATGTGTGCCCCCATGTGTGCCCGCATGTGTGCCCGCATGTGTGCCCGCATGTGTGCCCGCATGTGTGCCCCCATGTGTGCCCGCATGTGTGCCCCCATGTGTGTCCCCATGTGTGCCCCCATGTGTGCCCCCATGTGTGCCCCCATGTGCCCCTCTGCAGGCCACGCAAGCGTACCTGGCGGGCAACAAGGCAGCAGCCAAGGAGCTGAGTGCGCGGGGGCAGTGGCACAACGAGCAGATGAAGGCAGCTCATGCCAAGGCCAGCGATGCCATCTTCAGAACCCGGTATGATCACTGCCTCTGGTGCTGTTGGCTGGTTGGTTGCTTGCAAAGAAGAGTGTGAGTGGGTACGAGGTGGAGGAGCTGAGTGCTCAAGGCAGTGGCACAACGAGCAGGTGAAGGCAGCTCACGCCAAGGCCAGCAATGCCATCTTTCGCACCCTGTATGTCCTTCTGGTTGGTTTCGTGCTTGCTTGCTTGCAAAGAAGTGTGTGAGTGGGCATGAGGCAGATGCCCAGCAGCCAAGGAGCTGAGCCCTCAGGGCCAGTGACACAACTGTCCCCCTTTTTCTCTCAGCTCATCAAGAGTCGATATATGTATACTTTTGAAGTATTTTGAGACGTCTCAAAAGAGTAACCACGTGATTGAAGAAGTGTTTTGAGACGTCTCGAAAGAGTAACCACGTGATTGAAGAAGTGTTTTGAGACGTCTCAAAACACTTCTTCAATCATCAAGAGTCGATATATGCATACTTTTGAAGTATTCCTGGCCGCCTCTCTCCCACCCCACCCCCCCGTGTAGTGAGGGTGTTCGACAACTCAGCTCATCAAGAGTCGATATATGTATACTTTTGAATTATTCCTGGCCCTCTCTCTCCCACCCCACCCCCCCTCTCCCTTCCGTCCTCCTCTTTCTTCCAGCAATGCGGCGTCGGGTTACCTGGGTGGAGGGGCAGTGGAGGGGGGAGAGGCGCGGGTGCTGGATCTGCATGGGCTGCATGTGGGGGAGGCAATACCCATGCTGAAACGGGAGATAGCTGCTATGAGGAACGCTGCTCGCTCCACCCAGCAGAGGCAACAGGTGAAAAAGAATGGCAAGGGACTGGTGGGTCATTTGGGCCTTGTATGCCTCTTGGGCCTGGTGTGTTGGACCTACATGGGCTGCATGTGGGGGAGGCGATACCCATGCTGAAGCGGGAGATAGCCGCCATGCGCAGCGCTGCTCGCTCCACCCAGCAACGACAGCAGGTGAGAGAGTGGCAGGGGACTGGTGTGTCTTTTGAGCCTTGTATGCGTGTTGAGCCTTATATGCCTCTTGGGCCTGGTGTGTTGGACCTGCACGGGCTGCATGTGGGGGAGGCGATACCCATGCTGAAGCGGGAGATAGCCGCCATGTGCAGCGCTGCTTGCCCCACCCAGCAGCGACAGCAGGTGAGAGAGCGAGAAGGTACATAAGGGGGGCGGGATTCGGGGACTGCTGCGTGTTTTCGGCCTGGTATGCTGGATCTGCGTTGGCTGTATGTGGGGGAGGCAGTACCTGCCATGATAACTCACCCGCAGCGGTAACTGTGTGTGTGGGAACAGGCCACCACACTAAAGGCATTTGTAATCCTCCACCCCCGTCTTGTATGTTGTGACCTCAATCGACGAGACGACATTTGAGTCGACTCAAAGGTCAATAGTAATCCTCCAACCCCATCTCGTATGTTGTGACCCCAATTGACCTGCAGGTGTACGTGTGTGTGGGTACCGGCCACCTCACCAAGGGCCGAGCGCCCCCGCACGTCAAAGACCACCCACCCCACTCCACCATCTCTATGTTTACCCTCTGCTCTTATCTCTCAAACCCAACTCACCCACAGGTGTACGTGTGTGTGGGCACAGGCCACCACACCAAGGGCCGAGCGCCCCCACGCCTGCCACTGGCGGTGGAGCGATATTTGGTGGAGGAGGAACGAGTTCAGTTCATGGAAACCCAGCCCGGTATGCTGAGAGTGGTGGTTTGACATGCGGCTACACTTGTGGTAACGCAGTAACATGCATGCCACTGGCAATGGAGCGGTATCTGGTGGAGGAGGAGCGAGTTCAGTTCATGGTGACACAACCTGGCATGCTGAGAGTGGTGGTGTAACACGTGGTAATATGTGTGGTAGGTGGCGTGGTAACATGATGACAAGTGTGGCAGCATTAGTGTGCGGCAGCAGGTTAGGCAGTGGAGTGGTATTTGGTGGAGGAGGAGCAAGTGCAGTTCATGGAAACCCAGCTGGGCATGCTGAGAGTGGTGGTGTAACACGTGGTAACATGTGTGGTAGGCAACATGGTAACAAGTGAGGTAGCAGCAGTGTGCAACAGGAGGCTATGCAGAAGGTTTCTGGTTGAGCAGGAATGAGTTCAGTTCATGAGCCAGCAGGGTGTGGTGAGAGTGCTGGCGGTGAGAGAGTGCTGGTGTAACTGTGTGTTACATACAAGAATCTGGTGGGGCAGCAGTTCATCAATGGCTGACAACACATTGACGGTGGGCTAAATCAACGGCTGACAGCATCATTGGCTGACAGTATCAACGGCTGGCAGCAGCAATGCCAGATGGTCACATTTGACACAGCCAATCCGAAGGTAGGCGCCATACAGTTGTAGTTCACGTATTTTGTTCTTGCATTGTAACATTCTTTTAGACCGTCTTGTGCCTTCAACATGTAATGATTAACATTTTTGTAGGCTTTGTTAGGATAGCATTGGCGAGTGTAATCAGTTTATACATGAAGTGTAAGCCATTCATTCATATGAGAGGTGTAACGTGGTCCATAACCTTCCGCTACAATCGCAACACCACAAACGAAGCATGAATCACCACAGAGCTTGCGTGTGCGCGGAGTCCAGTCACCGCCTTCCCCGAAGTGCCGCGTGTCGCAATCGAACGCGTCGATTTTGCTGGAAGGGCAATTGGGGGAATCCCGAGGGGCGAAACAAACCGCAAATGTGGGTGCCTGGAAAGGCAGCTTGAATTTCGAGTAGCTCCTGGCGAAATTCATAGAGCGTAATCCCAGCTCCTTTCGCGAAATTCATTCCCGCGTCCTGCCCGCACGATGTCCGCCCGCGCCTGCTCTCTCCTCCGCCTCCGCCCCACCTCCGCCACCTCCTCCGCCGCGCGCGCCACCATTTCTGCTTCGCAATGCGCGCGCTCCCTTCCCCCCGTACTTCTGCGTTCCCCCGCTAGCCCGCCCAGCGAGCTCGGTAGGGCGACCCGCCGCGTTCGACGGACCGCAAGCGCAGAAATTTTGGGAAGATTCGGGAATTCGAGCCGCATTAGCAGGAGTGACGGCGGTTCGAGCGAAATTGGAGCAGGCAACAGGGGTAGCAGCAGCAGCAGCATCTTCCGCACTTCCCCCATTCCGCGCGTTTCCCCCTCGTCCCGTCCCAATGCGCAACGGGAGGTTGCGTCCCCGTTACTGTACCGGCCGCCTAGCGCGTCGCTCTCCAACGGAACTGGGGAACGCGCTGAGCGCGTAGCGGCGGGGGACGTGGTGGGCGGAAAGTACCGCATCGTGCGCCTGCTGGGGGAAGGGTCGAGCGGAAGGCTGTATGAGGCGGAAGTGGTGGCGGAAGGGGAGACGGCGGAAGAGGGAGAGGGGGAGCGCGTCGCCGTGAAATGCATTTCGTTGCGGTCTGCTGCGAGATGGAAGGTGGGTGAATGGACGGTTGCATTGCACCAATCATCGCTTCGCTTCGCTTCGTTTCACCTTTTCATCCTCTCTCGCGATTTGAAGGCGCCTCAAGGATACTCCCAACTCTTGATTTCGTCTTTCACTCTTGTTCGCCTTAACCTCTCTCAGTTATTGTTTCATCTCTCTTCACCCCTTCTCTCAGGATCTGGACCTGTTTGAGAGGGAGGCTAGAGTGCTTCGCAGCCTCAATCATCCCGGCATTCCGCGATACATAGACTATTTTGAGGTAAGCTTTTCAGCCGACTCAAAACCATCCCGGCATTCCACAATACATAGACTATTCTGAGGTAAGCTGATGCCATTGCTAAATACAAAGGAGAGCTTTTTATGGTGGCATTAGTGGTGTACATCTTTTGACAATGTCCATTCCGAGCAGAAGGCGCAATTGTTTCCTTCCGAATTTTCTCAAAAATTTGCTCCTTTTCCGTGGTAGCCCTGGTGGCCAATCTCGTTACCAACAGCTCCTTTACCGTGGACCTGCATCAATTGGGACCAATCCGGACCAATCGGGTTTTTAATTGGGTTTTAGCGGCCCAAATTGGTGCAGGTCCATTCGCTGGCAGGCTCGCCTGTTCCTCTCCTTCTCTCCTCTCCCCACAAACCATTTTTGAGGCGCCTAAAAAATCGTCCCATTAGCTGGCAGGCTCGCCTGTTCCTCTCCTCTCCTCTCCCCACAAACCCTGCACATGGAACCTCCTCCTCGTATTTATCACATCTCTTCACATTCATGTCCAGGAGGACACCGCCACAGACGGGGCGTTCTATCTCGTGCAGTGGCTGGCACAGGGGAAGTCGCTCAGCAGGCCGGCTATGCTCCCCTTTCCCCATACCCACTTCTCCACGTCCCCACTCCCTCATTTTCCACCACTCAACCAGGAGGACTCTGCAACGGACCGCGCCTTCTATCTCGTGCAGCGGCTGGCGCAGGGGCAGTCGCTGGCAGCTTTGGTGGCGGGCGGGTGGAGGGGAACAGAGGAGGAGGTGGTGCGGATCGGCGTTCAAGTGAGTGAGAGAAGGGGGGAATTGAGATGAGTATGGTGGAGGTGCATTGGGAGAGGAGGCCGTGAGAGTTGGTGTTGAGGTGAGCCCACAGCTGAGGCTCGAGAAAGTGCTGAGGAGGGCAAAGTTTTGCTTGCCTGGGTAGAGAGGGGTAGACAGGGGTAGAGAGGGGTGGAGAGGAACGCTGAAGGAGGTGGTCGTTGGCATTGGTTCACGTCGACTTCTGTGCGTGGCTCCTTATTGAGTTCCTCGCTAGCACCTTCATAACAACCTTCCTCTATTCTGTTTCATATTTGCATGTCATGCATGGCATGTAATGCACCATACCATACACACACCACCATCACTAGGTCTTGGAAGTCTTATCGTATTTGGAGTCGCTTCGGCCTCCCGTGGTGCATCGAGACATCAAGGCATGTGCTGCTCTTCATTTATGCTCTAAACTTGTGCCTTTCATTGATGTAACAAGTAATTATTGAGGGTTGAATCAAGGGTTCCTCAGTCCTTGACAAACCACGTGTCGCTTCGGCCTTCTGTGGTACATAGAGACATCAAGGCATGTGCATTGATGTCTCTATGGTATCCATTTGATGGTGGCATGTGCTGTTCTTCATTGTGCATTTTTCTTTTGATGAATTTTGTTTGCGTTATCCATTTGACTTCTGTTTATATTTTTTTCATATGCGGGACAAGATTTTTTTTAATGAGAACACAGTTCTTCCACTTCATCACAAACCGTTTGCTCAAATGCATCACTCCTTCCTATCATGTGTGCTGTTTTTTCGAGCTCTGTGATATCTTCCTCAGTTCTTTGCCGCACTCTGCTTTCGTTCTTCATAACCCTTTTTTCGTTCCAACTTGCAGCCCGACAATATAATTCTGGACCAATCACGTGGCACAGTTCAGGTGGTTGACTTTGGGGCGGTGCAGGAGGCATCGGCATCGGCCAGAAGTGATGCTCCTATCGGCAGCACAGTCGTTGGTACGGTGCGTTGAGATGAGACTATAGTGGATGGGGACTATAGCGAGTCGGGAATGTAGTGAGTACGGTGCGGGAGGCAAATGCATCAGCAAGGAGTGATGCTCCTATCGGCAGCACAGTTGTTGGTACGGTGCGTTGAGATGAGACTATAGTGAATGGTGACTGTAACGAGTTAAGCTTGTTGTGAGAACAGTGCAGCAGGCATCTACGTCGGCATGGAGTGACGCTCCTATCGGCAGCACAGTTGTTGGTACGGTGCGTTGAGATGAGACTATAGTGAATGGTGACTGTAACGAGTTAAGCTTGTTGTGAGAACAGTGCAGCAGGCATCTACGTCGGCATGGAGTGACGCTCCTATCGGCAGCACAGTTGTTGGTACGGTGCGTTGAGATGAGACTATAGTGAATGGTGACTGTAACGAGTTAAGCTTGTTGTGAGAACAGTGCAGCAGGCATCTACGTCGGCATGGAGTGACGCTCCTATCGGCAGCACAGTTGTTGGTACGGTGCGTTGAGATGAGACTATAGTGAATGGTGACTGTAACGAGTTAAGCTTGTTGTGAGAACAGTGCAGCAGGCATCTACGTCGGCATGGAGTGACGCTCCTATCGGCAGCACAGTTGTTGGTACGGTGCGTTGAGATGAGACTATAGTGAATGGTGACTGTAACGAGTTAAGCTTGTTGTGAGAACAGTGCAGCAGGCATTTACGTCGGCATGGAGTGACGCTCCTATCGGCAGCACAGTTGTTGGTACGGTGCGTTGAGATGAGACTATAGTGAATGGTGACTGTAACGAGTTAAGCTTGTTGTGAGAACAGTGCAGCAGGCATCTACGTCGGCATGGAGTGACGCTCCTATCGGCAGCACAGTTGTTGGTACGGTGCGTTGAGATGAGACTATAGTGAATGGTGACTGTAACGAGTTAAGCTTGTTGTGAGAACAGTGCAGCAGGCATCTACGTCGGCATGGAGTGACGCTCCTATCGGCAGCACAGTTGTTGGTACGGTGCGTTGAGATGAGACTATAGTGAATGGTGACTGTAACGAGTTAAGCTTGTTGTGAGAACAGTGCAGCAGGCATTTACGTCGGCATGGAGTGACGCTCCTATCGGCAGCACAGTTGTTGGTACGGTGCGTTGAGATGAGACTATAGTGAATGGTGACTGTAACGAGTTAAGCTTGTTGTGAGAACAGTGCAGCAGGCATCTACGTCGGCATGGAGTGACGCTCCTATCGGCAGCACAGTTGTTGGTACGGTGCGTTGAGATGAGACTATAGTGAATGGTGACTGTAACGAGTTAAGCTTGTTGTGAGAACAGTGCAGCAGGCATCTACGTCGGCATGGAGTGACGCTCCTATCGGCAGCACAGTTGTTGGTACGGTGCGTTGAGATGAGACTATAGTGAATGGTGACTGTAACGAGTTAAGCTTGTTGTGAGAACAGTGCAGCAGGCATCTGCGTCGGCATGGAGTGACGCTCCTATCGGCAGCACAGTTGTTGGTACGGTGCGTTGAGATGAGACTATAGTGAATGGTGACTGTAACGAGTTAAGCTTGTTGTGAGAACAGTGCAGCAGGCATCTACGTCGGCATGGAGTGACGCTCCTATCGGCAGCACAGTTGTTGGTACGGTGCGTTGAGATGAGACTATAGTGAATGGTGACTGTAACGAGTTAAGCTTGTAGTGAGAACAGTGCAGCAGGCATCTGCGTCGGCATGGAGTGACGCTCCTATCGGCAGCACAGTTGTTGGTACGGTGCGTTGAGATGAGACTATAGTGAATGGTGACTGTAACGAGTTAAGCTTGTAGTGAGAACAGTGCAGCAGGCATTTACGTCGGCATGGAGTGACGCTCCTATCGGCAGCACAGTTGTTGGTACGGTGCGTTGAGACTGCAGGCGCATGGGGACGGTAGTGAGTAGTGAGGTGTGAGTAACAAAATAGGAATGATGCACGGTGAGGGGGGTAGTGAGGTCAAAATAGTGAGGGGTGTAGTGAGCACGGTGAGGGGTGTAGTGAGCACGGTGAGGGGTGTAGTGAGCACGGTGAGGGGTGTAGTGAGCACGGTGCACGCGGCATCTGCTTTGTTGAGGAATGATGCTCCTCCTCTTGGCACCACAGCGGCTTATGACTAAATCGAGTTGAGAGTGTAGTGTGTACTGAGCAAGAAGCATTTGCATTGGCAAGGAGTGCATGGAGACTATACCGAATGGGGACTATAGAGAATTGAGATTGGGGTTCTTCCCCCTCCCCTCCCAACCACCAGTACGGCTACATGGCCCCAGAGCAGTTTCAGAACCGAGCAAGCTCACTGTTGGACCTGCACTTACTCCCTTGCTGATGTCCACCCCCTCCCCCCCTTTGATGCAACTCATGCGTTGCTCCCAGCCTAAGTTGGTCATTTACGTCCTGGAGGCCCACGTACACATAAAGTACGCGTAGACGTAAACGTACGCATGCGTACGTGTACTTACGTTTACTTACTTCGGCCAGGTATATTTTTTTCTCTTTTTCACTTTTTTTTGCCAGTGTTCGGATGAGCTCTAGATCGTAGTAGTGTTAGTAAAGACGTGACTTTACATCACTCGTTTATGCTCATTAAGAATATAATGGGGCAGCACAAAAGAAGTTTTTACCTGACCGTACATAAGGGCATAATGCGGAACGTGCGTAAACATATGAAAACGTAACCGTACTTAATCGTAAAAGACGTACACGTAAACGTAAAGAACCAACTTAGCTCCCAGCAGAGTTGCACCAACCCTTATTTACCAACCCCTCTCCCACTCCCCTCCGGTACGGCTACAATATCACCGGAGCAGTTTCAGAACAGGGCAAGCTCAGTCCGACTTGCACTCACTGCCTTGCTGATTTCCCCTCCTTTGTTGCGTTGCACCAACCCTTGTTACCCCCCCTCTCCCTCTCCCCTCTGGTACGGCTACATGGCACCGGAGCAGTTTCAGAACAGGTGCACTCTTATGGTGGTGATACATTACCTCTTCCTCCCTCATTCTACACCATAAACCGTCCCCCACCACTCTATACAGTACGGCTACATGGCACCGGAGCAGTTTCAGAACAGGTGCACTCTCACGGTGATACATTACCTCTTCCTCCCTCATTCTACACCATAAACCGTCCCCCACCACTCTATACAGTACGGCTACATGGCACCGGAGCAGTTTCAGAACAGGTGTCCTCTCACGGTGATACATTACCTCTTCCTTCCTCATTCTACACCATGAACCGTCCCCTACCACTCTATACAGTACGGCTACATGGCACCGGAGCAGTTTCAGAACAGGTGTCCTCTCACGGTGATACATTACCTCTTCCTCCCTCATTCTACACCATGAACCGTCCCCCACCACTCTATACAGTACGGCTACATGGCACCGGAGCAGTTTCAGAACAGGTGCACTCTTATGGTGGTGATACATTACCTCTTCCTCCCTCATTCTACACCATGAACCGTCCCCTACCACTCTATACAGTACGGCTACATGGCACCGGAGCAGTTTCAGAACAGGTGTCCTCTCACAATGATACATTACCTCTTCCTCCCTCATTCTACACCATGAACCGTCCCCTACCACTCTATACAGTACGGCTACATGGCACCGGAGCAGTTTCAGAACAGGTGTCCTCTCACGGTGATACATTACCTCTTCCTCCCTCATTCTACACCATGAACCGTCCCCCACCACTCTTTACAGTACGGCTACATGGCACCGGAGCAGTTTCAGAACAGGTGTCCTCTCACGGTGATACATTACCTCTTCCTCCCTCATTCTACACCATGAACCGTCCCCTACCACTCTATCCAGTACGGCTACATGGCACCGGAGCAGTTTCAGAACAGGTGTCCTCTCACAATGATACATTACCTCTTCCTCCCTCATTCTACACCATGAACCGTCCCCTACCACTCTTTACAGTACGGCTACATGGCACCGGAGCAGTTTCAGAACAGGTGTCCTCTCACGGTGATACATTACCTCTTCCTCCCTCATTCTACACCATGAACCGTCCCCCACCACTCTTACAGTACGGCTACATGGCACCGGAGCAGTTTCAGAACAGGTGTCCTCTCACGGTGATACATTACCTCTTCCTCCCTCATTCTACACCATGAACCGTCCCCTACCACTCTATCCAGTACGGCTACATGGCACCAGAGCAGTTTCAGAACAGGTGTCCTCTCACGGTGATACATTACCTCTTCCTCCCTCATTCTACACCATGAACCGTCCCCCGCCACTCTATACAGTACGGCTACATGGCACCGGAGCAGTTTCAGAACAGGTGTCCTCTCACGGTGATACATTACCTCTTCCTCCCTCATTCTACACCATGAACCGTCCCCCGCCACTCTATACAGTACGGCTACATGGCACCGGAGCAGTTTCAGAACAGGTGTCCTCTCACGGTGATACATTACCTCTTCCTCCCTCATTCTACACCATGAACCGTCCCCCACCACTCTATACAGTACGGCTACATGGCACCGGAGCAGTTTCAGAACCGGGCCACCTCACAGTCGGACCTCTACTCGCTGGGAGCCACGCTCCTCTTCCTGCTCTCCGGCCGCCCGCCCTCCGCCTTCCCCCAGGTATCGATTTAGCTCTTTCAAGTTCCTTGACAAAAATATACGAGGTGGTTTTTGAGAATTCTCAAAAAATGAAGTCAAGAAACTTGTGAACCAGTGTCAGTCTTGCCTCAGGATTGACTACGAGTTGTCTCTGGGTGCATCCGTCTCTCTGGGTGCATCCGTCTCTTTGGGTGCCTCCGTCTCTCCCCGGCTAGCCATTTTATTCCTTCCTCCTTTTTTTACCCGCCCCTATGTTTCCCCCTCTATCCATTCGTTTTCCCTTGTACCCCTCTGTTTCCCATCTGAACCACACCAGGCTCGCCTCAAGATTGACTTCCAGTCGTCTCTAGGTGTCTCCATCTTCCCCCACGCAGTAGCCCAATCCCACCCCCCCACCCCTATCTACCCCTTTATATACCCTTCCATCCCTCTGTTTCCCCTCCCTCTGAACCACACCAGGCTCGCCTCAAAATTGACTTCCAGTCGTCTCTTGGTTCATCCCTCTCCCCCCGGCTGGCCACGGTGCTTGACTGCTTGCTCATGCCAGCAGCAGAGGACAGGTTCAAGGTGAGTGACTTGGGTTCACTTGAGTTGACCTGAGCTGACTTGAGAGTTGACTGGAACTGAATTGAGTTGAATTTGAATCCTTCTAAGCTCATCTCCCCCCAGCTAGCCACAGTGCTTGATTGCCTACTCATGCCAGCAGCAGAAGAGAGATTCAAGGTGCGTAACTTAAGTTGACTTGAGTTGACTTGAGTTAACTTGAGTTGACTTGAGTTGACTTGAGTTGACTTGAGTTGACTTGAGTTGACTTGAGTTAACTTGAGTTCACATTGACTGACTTTGCAATAGCTGCGTGGTGAGAGAAGGGACGTGTTCATTTCGCAAGAGTCACTGCTTCCTCTCCTCCTTCCCGCTTCCTGCTTATCATCCCCTTCCCTGCAGACTGCTCGAGACATGATCAACGCCCTGACCTGCAACGAATCCTCACTCCACCTCTACCTCCCTCCCACACCACCACCACCAGCAACAACAACACCAACCATCCTCTTACCCCCCTCCCCCAGTCATCCCCTGACTGAATCTTCCCCACAGACTCCTCGAGACGTGATCAACGCCCTGTCTTGCGATGGATCCTCACCCCACTGCTACCTCCCACACCAGCAGCAACAACAGCAACAAGTCTCTTACCAACCACCCACATAACTAACGCTCCCACCCCTCCCCCCTCCTTCCTCACTCCCCAAAACCGCCCTGTTCCCCTTTCCCCCACAGACGGCTCGAGACGTGATCAAGGCACTTACCTGCAACGAATCCTCCCTCCACCGCTACCTCCCACACCACCAGCAACAACAACAGCCATCTACCTCCTCCCCCACCTCCCTAAGCACTGCCGGCATGGGCGGGTTTCTCTTCAGGAGACCCAAAGCTACCTCTTCCTCCTCCTCCCCTCCTTCCACCGTGCCACGGCCTTCCCCTGTTGCTCCCCTGCAAACCCTCCCTGCCGCGTTTCAATCCCCGGGTGCTCCTGTCACCCGTCCTGCTGGCACCCAAGTGGTGAGCGTTCTAAAGACTCAGGTACTCATGTCCTGCATTTCAAAAGACTCAGAAGCCACCTCTTTGCTGCTGAGTTCTCATAACCTGCAAAACAAACTCCTCCTGTCACCTTCCAATCCCCGGGGGGTGCTCCCACCCGCCCAGCTGGAACCCAAGTGGTAAGAATTCTTTCTCTTCAGGAGACCCAAAGCTGCCTCTTCCACCTCCTCCCCTCCTTCCACTGTGCCACGGCCTTCCCCTGTTGCTCCCCTGCAAACTCCTCCTGCCACCTTCCAATGCCCTGGGGGTTATTTTTGAGACGTCTCAAAAATACCCTCTCTTCAACAGGCTCCCCTGCTGTCGCCTTCCAATCCCCTGGGGGGTGTTCCCACCACCCACCCAGCTGGAACGCAAGTGGTGAGAGGTGTAAATCCAGAACAAAAAAAGGGATAGACAAATTGCGAAAGAACTCCAATCTAATCTTCTGCCTTAAATTACGTTTTACCGTCCAACCCTCCCTCCCTGCCTGGTTCCAAACCCGCCAACAATGGCAAATGACGCTGTTGCGTCTCTTCTTTCGTGTACCTACCCTTATCTGTCTCCTTCCAAACCCGCCAACAATCCTATCTGTCTGTCGCTCTCACCCACCCTGCTGGGTTGCTGCTGGTACCCACATAAAAGAAAAATACAAAAGTGGAAAGGTGCCTAGAGTTCTGATGCATGGTGAGAACGCACACATTTCTGTTTCTTGTCTCGTTTGTTTCTTCAATGTTTTTTTTTGTTTTTTTTTTTTTTTGGTTACCGAGCAGGTATTGGAGAGGACAGAAGGTGGAAAAGTCCTGGTAGTACACATCCCCCCTGCGGGCTTGACGAGGGAGGCAATGGGCACAGGCGGATTCGCCATCGTAAGTTCACACTTGCCCCTTGCCCCTTGCCCCTTGCCCCTTGCCCCTTGCCCCTTGCCCCTTGCCCCTTGCCCCTTGCCCCTTGCCTCTTGCACTCCCCCCTCTGTCTGTCTGTCTGTCTGTCTGGCTCCATCCGTCCATTCGACCATATCCAGTGATCTCTTTCCTCTCTTCGCATGTCAGTTTTTGAGAATTCTCAAAAACCAACTCCCCCCTCTGTCTGTCTGTCTGTCTGTCTGTCTCGCTCCATCCGTCCATTTGACCATATCCAGTGATCTCTCCCCTCTCTTTGCATGTCCCCGTGTGCCTATGTCCCATCATCTCTCCCCTCACCTCTTCCCTCATCTCTTCCCTCACCTCTTCCCTTATCCCCTCATCTCTCGCCTTTCCGCTCCTCTCTGCCTTCTCGTCCCCGCATGGAACGCTTTCATTGCCTTTTGGACTGCCACAGCACTCACAGGAGAGGCGCTCTTCTCTGTCTATCTGTCCCTGTGTTCATCTCCCCTCATCTCTCATCTATCTGTCTATCTTTATCCTCTGTCCATATGCCTCATCGCTCTCCTCTCATCTCCCTGCAGGCAATGAATGCTTTCATTGCCTTCTGGACCGACACAGCGCTCACAGGGGATATGGGCACCTCCTCTCTTTCCATCTGTTCCTGTGTCCATATCCCCTCATCTCTCCCCACATCTCTCCCCACATCTCTCCCCATATCTCTCCCCACATCTCTCCCCACATCTCTCCCCACATCTCTCCCCACATCTCTCCCCATATGCCTCATCTCTCTCCTCTCATCTCCCTGCAGGCATGGAATGCCTTCATTGCCTTCTGGACTGCCACAGCGCTCACAGGGGGAGGAGAGATGGGCACCTCTTTTTCTTCCATCCCTCTGCGTGTTCATATCCTTTCGTCTCCCCCCTCATCTTTCCCCTCTCCTCTCATCTGCAGGCATGGAATGCTTTCATTGCCTTCTGGACTGCCACAGCCCTCACAGGGGGCGCCCCGCTTCTCTTCACGGCTTTTTCAATCCCCTTCTGGCTCGTGGGCGGCGAGTGAGTTGCCTTGCCACATTCTTACTTCCCGCTCCCGCATCTACCACTCTTCATATCGCTTCGACCTCTCTCGCTTCCCGCCCTCTCCATTCCCCTCTTCTCACCGCTTCTCTTCCCGGCCTTCTCCATCCCGAGGTGACTTTTGAGTCGACTCAAAAGTCACCTTGTCTTCCCGGCCTTCTCCATCCCCTTCTGCCTTCTTGGCGATGAGTGAGTGTATTGAGTCTTGAAGGCCTTTCGTCCACACACACTTCCTCTCTCACTACCTCTGTCCGTGTGTCTTCACCGGGTGTTGCTCTCCTCTCAACTTTTGACGTCTCAAATTTTGAGGCGCCTCAAAGGCCACTACTTTTTTCCATGTGTCCTCACCATGTGCTGCTCTCCTTCTCAGTCTGGCCAAGAAGGTAGTGTCCACCGTAGCAGTATCAGTGGATCTTGTATTTGACCACCAGGGGGGAGGGCACGCAGGGGTATTACCAGCTCTTTCTCTCCTCCACACTCTATTTTCTCCCTCCCTCGCTTCTCTCCCTCCTCCCCAGTCTGGCCAAGAAATTGGTGTCCACAGTAGTAGAATCAGTGAATCTAGTGTTTGACCGCCAGGGGGGAGGGGAGCTCAGCACACTCCCTCACACAGTCTCACTCACTCCCTCTCTGTGCTTTCACCATCTGCCGCTCTTCCCCCCAGTCTGGCCAAGAAGGTAGTGTCCACAGTAGCAGTATCAGTGGATCTAGTATTTGACCGCAAGGGAGACGGAGAGTTCAGCATCACATGGCGGGTGGGCGACCTCTGGAGTCACACAGAGAGGGGCAGATGTGCCGACATCTCACGCGCTGCAGTGGTGGTTGAAGGGGTGAGTCTATGTGTGAGTGGGTGTACGGGGTGAGTGAGTGGTGGTAGAGGGAGTGAGTGGGCATCTTAGAAGGGCAGGGAGGGGAGGGAGGGGAGTTCAGCATCACGTGGCGTGTGAGCGACCTTTGGAGCCACACAGAGAGGGGTCGATGTGCGGACATCTCACGCGCTGCCGTGGCGGTTGAAGGGGTGAGTGTGCAAGGAGGGAAGGAGCGGTATGGAGGGTTGTGGAGGTGTTGTGGGAGGAAGTTTGAAACACCCCTGCTAAGTGAGTGCACGTGAAGCGCAGAACCTTCCCTTCATCGTGCTAGACAACCCTGAACCCTGATGCACACCCTCTCCCCCTGTTTCCCTCTCTTCCCCCGTTGCCGTCCAGTTCCAAAACGGCGAGCCAATGGCGGTGTGCCAGCTGGCAGAAGGGGTGAAGGAGCACCGATTCGGAGGGGGGCTGAAGCCGGTGGAGCAGCAGTGGGTGGTGGGGCAGATAGGGGAGTTCCTGGGTATTGGGTTTGGGGGGGTATTGGGTGTTGATGAGGAGGCGAGCAGGCGAGGAGGGAGGAACAACTGGAGTGACGATGAGTGGTGAGGAACGGTGGGGAGTGGTGGCTTGAGAGTTCTCAGATTTTGAGATGACTCAAAAGCCGGTGGAGCAGCAGTGGGTGGTGGGGCAGATAGGGAGGAACAGCTGGAGCGACGATGGGGAGTTGTGAGGAGAATGGTGGGGAGCGGTGAAAGAATGACATTTGCAACATTAAAGCCCGAGTATCACATTGTTTTTGCCACAATTTCGGAAGGGCTTTAAACGTATTGACGAAAGGCAAAAAAGTTCATTTCGAGAATATGGGCGTGGCGAAAGCGAGATCAGGCAACGAGGACATTCTGTATTCGTCACTCGACATCGGTTGGAGCGTGCGACAAACCAACCCAACCGTATGAGGGAAAACCAAGTGTGTAAGCCCAACCTCACTATTCTTGGGTTAGTAAATTTTGAACAGAAATCATCTCGATAGCGCATCGCAGCATGAAATACGCAGGAACGCATTGTGGTCGCGAGGGTGAGTGAAGCCACCTCACCACGCCTGCCCACGCACCTCTGAGTGGCTCCTCCCCTTCCCTCATCGAGCTCCTCCCCTCGTCGCGCCTCTGCTCGCCTCGCCGCGCCTCCGCTCGCCGCGACAAGCCTGCGCTCGCCATGCCGCGCCTCCGCTCGCCGCGCCGCGCCCCCGCTCGCCTCGCCGCGCCTCCGTTCGCATCGCCGCGCCTCCGCTCGCATCGCCGCGCCTCCGCTCGCATCGCCGCGCCTCCGCTCGCCGCGCCGGGCCTCCGCTCGCCGCGCCGCGCCTCCGGTCGCCGCGCCTCCCCTGCTTCCCCTCACTCCCCGTCTGCTTCCCCTCATTCCCCCCTCTGCTTCCCCTCATTTACTCCCCTGCTTGCTCTCGTTTTCCCCCCTCATTTCCCCCGCTGCTTCCCCTCATTCCCCCCCCCCCCCCCCCCCCCTTCCTCTCATGTCCCCCCCTTCCCCTCATTGTCCTTCCTGCTTCCCCTCGTTTCCCCCTCTGCTCTCATTGTTTCCCCCTCTGCTTCCCCTAATTTCCCCCCCTCCTTCCCCTCATTTCCCCCCCTCCTTCCCCTCATTTCCCCCCCTCCTTCCCCTCATTGTCGGCGTCCCTTCCCTTCCTGCCTTTCACCTGCTACTTGCCCCTGTATTGCCTGCTCCCCTTATTCCTGCCTTACTGTTCTCAGTCCCTTTCTCCCCCTTTCCGCCCTGCATAGTACTTCCTTCCTCAGCCATTCCCTGAGAGATTCAGGCTCCCACTGCTGGCTACCAAGAGTGGCGTTAGTCACCTTGCTGCAGTAGCTTAGAACGGTAACGTAAGTCCACTATGCTCTGGTAAACAAACGAGAGAACAGGAGTCCTTTGCTAGGGTAGGCTAATTTATGCTAGGCCACCCAGTCGCGAGTTGCTCAGCGTGATGGGTTGGGCTCGAGCCGCCTTGGCCTTGGATTGGCCTTGTGCCAGATTTCCTGTCTCCCGAGGGCCCTGGAATTGTGCCCGCAGCGCCTTGCAATTCCCCATAGTACCAACTTCGCGTTCCTCCCAATGCCCCACCTACCCTGTGTTCAAACTGAATAACAACTACTACACTACTTCTACACCCCAGTTAGCACAGTTACAGAATATGATGCACTTACCATGATATTCAGTGACAGCTGTCGGCGTCCCTTCCCTTCCTGCCTTTCACCTGCTACTTGCCCCTGTATTGCCTGCTCCCCTTATTCCTGCCTTACTGTTCTCAGTCCCTTTCTCCCCCTTTCCGCCCTGCATAGTACTTCCTTCCTCAGCCATTCCCTGCCCCCTCCTGTACTCGTGCTCGGGCTGCCCGTGCACGTGTCACAGGACCCTCTTGCTGAGGCCGTCTCTCCTTCACTGCCGCTGCGTTCGTCTGGTGATCCACTGTCCGCTCACCCTTCTCATTCTCCAGCACCAGCACCCCTGACCCCCTCACCTCTTTAACCTTCCACCTCTCTGTCCCCAACCCTACATCCAGGGTGTCTGTCTGTGCCCGGCGCAGGTACACTTCCTGCCCCTCCCTCACTGCTGCCTTCGCCTTCCTGCCCCCTTGCTGTTGTCGTTGCTCATACCTGTGGGCATCTCTCAGCTGTGCCGTGTGCAAGTTCTCTAGGGCTGCCGGGAGCATTTCCCGCATGTATCGTGCTCGTGCTTCTGCCAGCGCCACCCACTGGTCTGCTCCCTTCACGCTCACCACCCCCGTCAGTACCCTTGGCGCTCCCACAGGCAGTATTGGTTCCTTTCCGTACAGCAGGCTATACGGGGAGTAGTCCTTCAGTGACGCCTGCTTCCCGAATCTGTACCCCGCCGCCACCCAGTCTAGCTCTTCATCCCAGTCTCTCTTCCGCTTCTCTCCGTACGCCCTCAGGTTCCGCTTCAGGGTCTGCACTAGCCGTTCAGTCAGCCCGTCGCTCTGAGGATGGTACCTTGATGTCTGCCTGTGTGTCACCTTTGCCTCATCCAGCAGCGCCTGAAACTCCCCCTTGAACTCCGTGCCCTGATCTGTGAGGACTTCCCCTGGTGCCCCAAATCTGCACAGCACCTGTCCCTTGAATGCCCTCGCCACCAGTCTAGAGTCCTTGCTCGGCAATGCACACACTTCTAACCACTTGCTTGCATGCTCAACCATGAGTAGGATGTATCGCTTTCCGCCCCTGCTCAGTGGCAGCTCGCCGGCTATGTCCAGAGACCACCGAAACCCCAACCCCCTTATTGGCAGTGACTGCAGCTCCTGCTTTGCCTGTGTCAAGCTGGCCTTGCTTCTCTGGCAGCCTTCACAGCCACTGACCCACTCTCGGACTTGCTTCCTCATCCCTTCCCACCACCAGCCGGTCTTGAGCAGCTGCGTTGTGCGTTCATGCCCAAAGTGTCCCAGCTTCCTATGTACCTCCTCGATCACCCCTTCCCTCTCCTGCGGCGCAGGCACCAACTTCCACCCATCCACGGACTGCAGCTGCAGCTGTCCTTGGTACCATCGGTAGTGATGCCCTCATGCCCTCACCCTATCTGTCACCTGCTCGTTCTCCTCTGTCTCCCCTTTAATCCACCGCAGGGCCGTGGGATCCTCCCATATGTCCTGTGGCCCCCTCTTTCCTTGCATTGCTGCTGCTGCCTCCTCCCCTTGCCTAGCGAGCAGCATCAGCGCGTGCACGGGCTCGGCTGCGGGCGGGTTCCTTGAGAGCCCGTCCACGTGCTGCAATGTCTTTCCTGGTCTGTGGCGTATTTTGAAGTCATATTCCTGCAGGGTCACGGCCCACCGCGCGTTTCTCCCTGTCAGCCCTTGGTGGGTCATCAGCCACTGCAACGGCTGATGATCTGTGATCAATGTGAATTCCCTCCCTTGCAGGTACACTCTGAAGTGCTTCACGGCCCACACAGCAGCCAGCCCTTCCCCATGATAAGAGCTGTACTTGGCCTCTGCTGGGTTACAGCTCCTACTCGCGTAAGCCACCACCCTTTCCTCTCCATCCAGCTCTTGGCACAGGATTGCCCCCATGCCTTGGCTGCTCCAGTCAGTGTATAGGCAGAATGGCTTGTCGGCCTTGGGCAGCTGCAGAATCGTTGCTGTCTGTACCGCCTCCATCAAGTCTCGCAATGCCGCTTCTTGCTCTGTCCCCCACTCCCACCTTTTGTCCTCCCTCAGTAGCCCGTTCAGCGGTGCCGCGCGCTTGCTGAAATTGGGGACAAACCTTCGGTAGTAACTCAGAAAACCGAGCACCGCTCGCAGCCCGGTTCTGTCCTTCGGCTGCTGCAGCCTGTTCAGCACCTCCACCTTTGCCCGCTGAATCCCTATCTGTCCGCCCCTCACCTCATACCCCAGGTACTGCACCGTTGCTTCCCCCCACCTGCACTTCTTTGGGTGACAGGTCAGCCCTGCCGCCGCCAACGCCTTCAGCGTCCGCTCCACGTCTCGCACATGCTCCTCCTCACTCCTGCTGAATATCACTACGTCATCTATGTAACATGCTGCACACTCCAGCCCCCGCAACACGCTGTCCATTACTCTCTGAAGACGCGTTCCTCAGCCCGAATGGCATAAACAGCCATTCGTACAGCCCGTCTGCTCCATGGAATGCCGTTTTCCGCACGTCCTCCTTTCTGATCTTGATCTGGTTGAAGCCCTGTCTCAAATCTAGCGTGCTGAAGATCTCCCCTGCCCCCAGTCGGTCAAAAATATCCTCCGCTGTCGGCATTGGGTACCTATCGGGCACTGTCACTTTGTTCAGTGCTCGGTAGTCCCCACACATCCGTCGACTCAGCACCTCCCCCAGCAGGTCCTTTCGTGCAGCTACCACTGTCGGCGTCGCGTACTCTGATTCTGATCTCTGTATCAACCCTGCTTCTAGCAACTCTTTGCATTTTTCCTTGCAGATGTCTTCATCCCCGGGTGTCATTCTCCGCTTCCTTTGAAACACTGGCTCCTCCGTGACCAGCTTCAGCTCCATCTCCCTCACTGTGCATTTTCCCAGCTCCTGTAGGTTGAATGCAAAGGCATGCCTGTACCTGGCCAGCACCTCCTGCATTGCCTTCTTCCCCTGTTCGCTCATTGCATTCCCCACTACCCACGCTGGCTCTTCCTGTGCTGCCACGCACGCCCATGCCCCCACCCTTTTTACTCCCTCCTTCTTGCTCCGCAGCTCCTGCTCCCCTTCCAGCACCAGCCCTCTCCACATTCGGCGCATCAGCCACTGCATCACCTGTCCGTCCATTGCCTGTCCTAATGCCTTCCTCCTTTCCTGTTCTGTCACCCCTGCTGCCTTCGTTATGTCTTCCCCATACCCCATTGCCAGCTCCCGCTCCAGTGCCGTTGGTTCCTCCGACTGCTTTGTCTTATGATCGTACACCATGCCTTCTCCTGGCACTCCTCCTTCCTCCCTGAACCCGGCTGCCCCCTTGTACCCCACCAGTGTCAGCCAAGCCCTGCGTACTGCCCCCACCTTGTTGCATGGGCACTGTGTCTCGTGCCTGCCTTTCCTTACCGGCGCCGCTGTCCTGCCTGGCTCTAATATCTCTTG